TTGGGAGTAGTTTTGAACTTGTACATTTTCTCCTATCAAAAACATTCGAAGACGAGAAAAAATATTTTAGAAGTCCTTAAACATTGAAACTTAAGAAAGTATATAACTTCCGACCTCGATTTCTGGGTTCGGGCCTGATGCGACCTGTTGCGTTTCTGTTGCACATGGTCCGGATCAAAGGGGTGGCGTGCTTTATGCGGTATATCGATTGATGTGTCATTTAAACCCATAGAAAAGGATTGATAAACATGGTGTTCGCTACGAACACCTTCATAATAGATTATTTATCATAGCTTAATGGGGAAATATTAATAATCGATCATTCACACTTGCTCCACTGGTTCGGATTTAGTCGCCCGTTTCCAGTAAATATTCGTGAAGGATTGAGACCCTTCGCTCCGCCCCAAAATAATTGGTTCTAGCTTCGTTCATGCGTAGGACTCTAAAATTGACTACTGGCTAGTTTAAGAATTTAATTGTTGCAATGAATGTATCCTTGTCAAATTTTTACACTGCAAAAATTGAACAACTCGCAAGACTGTAGAAAATCACCGCAGGGATAGGAAATTAAGGAGTGTAAAACTGAAACATTAAATTCTAACTTCCCGCTTCTGAAAAACAGAAATTCACGAACGTCAATCTGGCCATTGAAAATTAATAGTTAGGCAAAAGACTAATTTTTCGTCTCATAAAAAGTTTCTTTCTTCTTTGGTGCGCGGGACAAGGGCAATGTATGAGAAAGATTCAATGTAATGACAAAGATTTTTCTACCATGAAGTAAAATAACTTCGGCCCTTATAACTTTAGTATAGTTAGGTATTTTAACGAGGAAGGAATATTGAATTCGGAAAGAGAAAAAGCGCTAATTTTTCACTGGCGAGTCGTTCAAAAATCATAAAAATTTTGAGCGCAATGGTGTATGCCAAATTTTGAAAATTTTCCTAAAGGATTACGTAATGTTTTTTTTCCCAGAGAGAAGTTTTTCTTTGAGTAAGGCTGCAGTACTTGGCACCTGATTGTCCCCCTTACGGCACCTGATTGTCCCCCTCACGGCACCTGATTGTCCCCCTTACGGCACCTGATTGTCCCCATTACGACACCTGTTGTCCCCCTTACAGCACCTCTTGACCCCCTCCCCAGTCGATCCCCCTGCATTTAATAATGGACGACCCCTAATAAGCTGGGCACGACTGAGGTTTGGCAACAAGACCTCATTGAGAACGTAAGAACATGGGATGATGAGGCATGATGAGTTAGAATGGCACTCGCAAGTAAGTGGTTACTCGCTCTTGTGGGAATGTGCTCGATGAGTCGGTGAGCCCGAACTTTCATTCATTAGCCGCATTCGTCTGTTATGCCCTCGGCCTCACTTTGTTTCGCCTCTTTAACACATCATCGAGCATAATCAAACTTTAACGACTGCTTAGTGCTTACCACTTGTTGGGCGTGTCTATTAACTAGCTTACACCGTGCGGTCGCACAATCCCGAATCCTCACGCTGTGTGCATGATCCTGCTCTTCGGAGCTTGTTAAGACGGGGAGCAACAGGGTTGCCATGATGGGGAAGAACCAGGGCTGGGCGTTTTTAGAAGGATCATTCGGATCAGTGCTTCTATTTCCCGGAACTAGTGCCGAATTCTGGAACTTTTGAAATTTTCCTGACTTTGTCCCGGAACTTTTGAAATTCCTGAGATGTTCTGGATCTTTTGCAGTATCCGGAACTTGGTAAAAATATAAACAGAATCCCGGAATTTTTGACGGTCATTGAGTGGGAGAAATTGGAACAAAAAAATTCCGAATCCCGGAACTTTTGCCGGGCATGGAATGGGAGCACTGATTCGGATCTACATATAGCAAACAATTTTAGGAAATGAAAAATTCGTAAAAATAATCAAGACTTGCTCCCTTTCTTTGGGCGAACTAAAAATAGAACAGTCGATGACGTAAGGTATTTCCAGGCAGCCTCTGAACCTAAAGGAGAAGGCAAAACTTACAAGCTCGGTAAGGTACGGCGCACAGTGGAGCGACACAACGGACGAGGTCGGATACTGCGTGGAAACTTTAAAAGTTTATATTTTCGTTAATACGAAACAGAGAAGTTTAAGAGTGGTTCCATTAGTCTTAAGGTAATAGAGGAAATAAAGTGTTGCCAACTTTCAAGAATCGCCACTGGCCACGAAGTACAATACCAACAGCAACATTCGGGATGGGTAATGAATTCTGACCGCGATAAAAATTTTCCGATTTTTCCTTGACTTTTCCCGCCTTTCGCAGGTTTTCCTCAGCTTTGCAACCCTTATTGCATCGATTAATAATGTTGAAACAACTTTCAGGGTGTTCACGATTTCTATTTTGATTTTGGGAGCGTACAGAGCAACGATTCTTCCCTGGCGACCCGGCCTGCATCCTGTAGGGATGTTCCGATTATTGATTGATCGGTACCTTCCGAATACAAATTAGTGATCAAACACTTTGACTTCAGTCACTAGTAACGGCAATGAAAATTATTCGACCTCATCAAAAAAAAAAATAAAAAATTTCAAAAAATGAAGCATTCAAACAAAAATTTGAAAAATTCTGTTCCACTTAAGCTGACAATTATTTATTCATCCAATTAATAATAAATTAATCGATCGGTGAATTTCGATTGATCGACAAAACTTATCGTCAAAATTGGGCGGGATACCGACAAAAATTAATCGAAAAGCTTAATAATCGTGCGTTCTGCTACTCAACGATGACACCTGATGAAACCAACGAAACTACCCAATAGCACGCCGATTAAAATTAATTGCGAGGGGAAAGGAGGCAAGTGTGATATGTCGCCAGGTGAGATTTTATCGGCGAAAAACGCGAGCGGACGACTGGGCATTCACGGCGCGAGACATAATTGAGCGATTCACGGTGAATAATTGAGCAAATTAAAACAACAAGTTGAGACTCAAGAGCGACGCGGTGCCGGCCGGGATTGTGGGGAAAGGCTGGGGAATCATTAATTTAATTCGCGGTCATTCTCCGCGGTTGAGTGCGCTCTCGCGTAAGCTCTGATTATCCGCGACGACGCGCCTCTCGGGTTTCGGGGACAATTTTAAAATATGCGCTGCCGCGAGTAAAAGCCCTCAATATCTGGTCAGAACAAAATATTATGAAAATATTTTGAAAATATTGCAAATGTTCACGGAAAAAAATTGATTATTGATTCAACAATTAAATTGTTAAAAAACCTGTCCGACATATTTCTAATGTACATTTTACAATATTGCAAAGCTAATTCAACCACGGGGTTGGTTAAAATAGCATATTTTTTATTGTAAAATCTACATTGAAACATGTCGGGTACTTTTTTGAACTACAAAATTGTTAAATCAGCAATTTAATCTTATCCGTGTTTAATACTAAATATTGATGAAGAATCATTCACGGTGCTTTTATTAGATTTCTAGAGTCCCTGACTTTTCAGGGATTTTGGACGTAGAATTGGTAAATATGGTAAAATAGGACGTAGAAACCAATTGGTTTTTATTTGCATGGGAAGGCTGAAATTTTTAATGGAATTTTTTTTCGCGGAATATTTTAAGCACGGACTCTTAAAATGTAGAAACATGTAGTTTTCCAAAAAAAAGTTCTAGGTTTCGCGGTAGGCAAAATACCCAGACTTTTCTGAGATTTCTTTGACCTTTCAAAAAAGAAACCCAACGTTTAAAAAATCTGTCGGCACGAGTTTTCGCAAAATTTTAAAGTTAGAAATGAAAGTAGTGTTTGTCATACTTTCAAAATCAACAGATATTTTTGAGGGGAAAACCTGAAAATGTTTAAAAATATTCTAGAGAATAGGAAATGGCAGGGGAGGGGGGACGTGTATAAGTATCCAAAAATTATTGAAGCTACGCGAATTTGTGAAAAATAACATTCGAAATCGCCTCTTTTGGTATTCAACCGTCTCTTTTCTCTAAAAAAATTCTGTTCCTTTCTCGTGACCATGAACAGAACCATCTGAATGAGGTAGTCCAAAACAATTCCACTGTTGTGAGGTTCAGAAGTGTTCACGGAATCCGTTCGTGAAATCATAAGATGTTTCTTCAAAAATGTGGAAAAAAAGAATTATTGTGGTAAAACGTATGGCGACGTTATCACAGGTCTTGCTGAAAGCACAATGAAATTTGTAAACCAAGAATGAACGTAAATACCGACAGATTAATCAAAAATCACTGCAACTAAGGATGGTGGGTGGGTGCTGCAAATGTATTGCGAGTGTATGGGTAGTGAAAACATGACTCAGAACAAATGTTATGGGATTTAAATTCTATAATGCTACACATTAAGATTTCTTGTTGACGTTAATTCGTTTTTAATGTAAAGAAAAAAAATGAAACAAATTAAAAAATTCAGTTCAAATACAAAAGCGTAAGTGTGATTATTGGGAACAAAAAAATAATTGTGATCGATGTCTAAGTTATATTTCTTGGAATTAAAAAACTCAACCCCGAGGAATTTTTTTTTTTTTTTTTTTTAAATCAGAGCATTTTGTATAAATTTAAAAATAGGTCTTCTAATAATTCTTTCAATGAAGCTTAGTATACCTACTTTGAGGCTTGGCTCGCAACAAAGCCTCAGATCAGCCCGAAGTTTTTTGGACAATTTTACCCGAAATTCCGACTTTAAAGAGAGTTTTTTGCAAGCTGCTTCGTTTCTATTACAAATGATCCATTTAGTACTTAGCACGATACGTGACACTTTTCTGAAAAGATCCATCCTGATCAAGCTTTCAAGGCGATGATGATAACATGACAGTATTCCCGTACAGCGACACTTTGCATTTTTTAAAAAAAAATGGGAGAGAAACATCATTGAATGTGAATTTTAGGATACACGTATAACAAGTATTTTCACCGAAATCAATAACATTTTATCCTCAATTTTCTTTCTACTCTAACTGGATGTATATTTTTCTTTCTACAGTACGCACGTTTACTTAAAAATGACGGTGATAAATTACTCACAATCATTTTTTGGGATGGTCCGATCTTCCTTTTTATCGCGAGTTATCCAGTGACAGCCAAGCACATTCCTTACTCAAAACACTCCGTTAACACTCAAACTTTCGAGTCAATTGAACCGAAAGCACAACACAAGTCTATTTTCACACGACTAATCAATTATACCGAGAAGCGATTAAAATTAAATGGAATATAAACGAAAGGTGACGCGTTGCGGTTGTAATAACGCTTGTAAAATGTAACAAATTGAAAATTGGAATCCCCAAATTGGAGGGGCACAAAAGGCTCGGACTTTTAACTTTCATGCAACGCGGCAGGCAACACCATCTTCCGAAATCAGAAATTATGTTTTAATTTTATTGTAAACAATTTTTTTTTAATTTTTAAAAGATTTTAATTCGTGTTCTACGCGCCTACATTTTCCTTTCCACACCCATTAAGAAGAAAGGAGGAATATAAACCGAGAATTTGACTAATTACACGGACGGGTCCCAAGCGATTATACACGTGGGTGCGCGCGTCGTAGCGTGTTTTGACTGTCGAAGAGCCACGGGTATTGACCACTGGGCACGGGGTACCCCCAAGGGGCGTGGGGGGGGGGGGGGGGNGGGGGGGGGGGGGGGGGGGGGGGGGGGGGGGGGGGGGGGGGGGGGGGGGGGGGGGGTGCTGGGTGGGTGCAAGTATAGTAAGTGAGAGAGAAAGTGGTTGCGCGGTTGTGGTCGTGGGTTCGGGAAGGAGTTAACCCGCGAGACTCCAGATTCAAGTGTGAAGAGCGAAGGCTGCCGCGGTTCCGGCGCACACGGCCCCTAAAATCTGCCGTGCCAAGGAAAAACGCCGTATGAGCCTTCAGACGTTGCCTTATTTCCTTCGATAAAATACGGATTTTCAAGGAAACCTGTGAGCATTTCCCCTTCAAATTTCCATAGAATTTTATTCAGTGTCAGATCTAAATTATCTAAAAGTTTTAGGTGGAAATATTCACAACTCTCTTCAAAAATGAACATTTTATTGGAGGAAATTTGGCAACTCTCGAATGTTCGTACGGCGTTTTTCCTCAGAACGGCAGAAGTGAGAGACTGAAGTTCTGAACTCGATCAACGAGTTGCCCGCGAGGACCTTTTTTAGCCTGATAATCCGTGAAAGATTGGGATCTCCGAAAAATGTCTACAGCATAGACGACAGGTGCCAGTGAGGACCTTTTTCGGTCCTGAAGTTTTGAGAATATATTGTATGATGAAGGTTTCATTCGGCGTCAAAAGTTAGGTTTTCTCCTAGGTTCACCACCAAAATAGCTCATTCCCAATACAAATACTACAATTTGACGATGAATACCAAAGTAGATCATTTTGATACAAAGGTATTCCTCACGATGTACTCATTAACACATTCAAGGTGAAAAAACAGGGAACCTTACGCTTATAATCAAATCGCAGCACATGGGAAGACATATTAGTTATTGGTAGGGGGAGGGGGGGGGTTCAAGAAAAGAATAAGTTTTACACTCCAGATGCTTTCCTTTATACTGCGATGAAACTCCAAAACTGCGCTATGCGAGGCCACTTGAGGAGGTGTACAGTATTATTATTTTTTTTTTTTTTTTGGTCGTCATTTTTTAGGGGGAGTTTTTTAGGATGGGCCGGGGTGGCTACCGCCACCTAGAATACGCGAGAGACTTTAACGAACGGGTAGGAAAAAAGCACCGCTGATTTTGGAATCGAGCAAGAGTGATTTTTCAACATTGACGGATTTTTACCTCTTTTATACTTTGATTTTTCTTAAATAATTACACTATTTGCTTTTGCGGTGTAAGATATTGAGGAAAATGGCAAACTATAAAAGAAACCAGTAGCGCTGTTAGGTCTTAAAATGAAAAGAAACATAATGATCTCAGTTAGCGTCGATGCGAAGAACACGAAACACATTTTATAATTCAGCATGGATGTAACTATTGGACTCGATGGATGTGCGTGTTGCATACGCATGGAAAAGAAGGCGTTTTGACTTGGGTGAAATTTTTTTCCTGAAGTTCCTATGAGGCGATAATGCCTAGTCATGCTAATTTTCGGTTTTCAATTCACGGTGAAAAAAATTGTTTACAGTATATTTTCTTGGATTGATACAAAATCCTCTTGGATTTAAAGAAAAAAATTTCAGGGAAAGGCAAACTTTTTTTAGATCAAGAAATTTTTTTTAGGGGAAGAGAGCTGTTTAATTCAAAGAGGTTTTTTCTTAATTCAAACGAATTATTTTGCATTTATAGGAAATTTAATTTTTCGTCGATGACAAAAATACATTTTCTTTTTTCTTTTTTTTAAAAAAAAAAATATAATATATGTAACACCTAATTTAAATTACACACATTTTCCACTCGACCGTGCTTTTTTTTTTTTTTTTTTTTTTTTTTTTTTTTTTTTTAAAAGGTTCCTTACCTACTTAACGAAAAGGAATGTTCTCATTCAAAGATGTTTATTCTAATTTTAATCCATGTTCTCAAGCAATTTTTGCAGCGCACGTCTGACGAGTCACCGACAAACGTCCACAGAGCGTCGGGACGTTACGGACGTTACGCTAGCACAACCCGGCGAACTCCTCCGCTCCGTTCCGCACCCGGTCTAAGAGCAGCAGGGGTCGGTCGACGACTCGTCGTGCCGCACAGTGGGAGCGAGCCAGCGGAGAAGGTCGGATATTCGGTGGAAACTTCAAAACCTAAAATCTTCGTTAATACGAAACGTAGCAGTCTGAAAATGACTCCATCGGTTTCCTCATAAAATGTTCTGAAAGAATCATCCCTAAAAATTCATAACATGACGAAACAAACATCAAAAATTGCCGTTTTAGTCGAAAATTGTACGTCCGACTCCACTGTGGGTCGCGCCGCGACGGCCGGAACGGGCAGCGCCGACGGCCGACACCGGCCGCGGCCAAACTTGGAGGGACGTAGGAAGTCCGACGTTCCAACTTCCGAAATAAAAAAGACATCTTGCTCACGTTGCATTCCACGTACTGACGTTCAGCCGCCGTATCTACATCAAACTGCAAACCAGCGAAAAAAACACCCGAGGGATCCACAACATTATTGTTCGGTCACACCATCATCGCATCATCATCACACTCACCAACAACATGTACACGTCAAAGGGAAATGATCCGATCGACGCTGTTTAGGCAGATATGTTTTTTTTGGAGACCAACATCCTGCAACGATCGCGACAGTTTCTATAATTTCTTCATTTTCCGATTCCCTGACTCCAAAGTTGTGGAATCCTTGACTTGGCCAGATCCTTCCCTGAACAACATTTCCGCTTAGATTGTTTTCCTTCCAATTACGCTGACTTCTCCTAAACGCTGATCGCAAAATTTCGTACATGCCTCTTCTTGTAAATTACCTTGAATTACCCCGACTTTTCTAGGTCGTTGTGAATTCCGTGACTTTTCAAGTTTTCCAGACCGCCAGGAACCTTGAAGATCTCATTGGCAATAACTGAATTGAACCACTTGCAACTGTCTAATAAGTCAAAAATCATGGATATCTACGGTACCTGTCGAAGGGGGGGGGGGATTCTCTGACTTTTTCAGGGTCTCTCCGATTAAAACTTTAATAAAAAAAAAACCCGGTGTCGATTCGATCGACATGAATCGCTCGAAAAACAAAAACGTGGACCGATCAACAGCCATAAATCTATCGACAACCCCGTGAATCGATCGACAAACCCATAAATAAATTAAGTCGCTGTCGATCGGTTCACGATATTGTTTTCCGATCGATTCATGTCGATCGAATCGACACCGGTTCACCGGTTTTCAGTCATTCTTCGATAGGTTCACGCTTTTGTACTTCGATTGCATCATGTCGATCGTATCCACATCCTCCTCCCAAAAAGCTTCTTCTTCGACTGGACTGGGGTCCACAAAATATGCCGATGCGGACAGCGAACCGTACTTCCGGGGGTCTGCGTCGTTCGAGAGGCGCCATATCTAGGTCGAGGCTCTATGGGCTCTACCAGACACGATGGACGTACGAATTCCAACAGTCACCGATGCTCATCTGTTGACGGTGGCACACGTCAAAACAACGAAGCTGCCATCTAATTTCGCGCGGAATCTCGCGTGTGACGAGGCGGCGATTTCTCTGCGCAGTTGAGTCGGGACAATAGTCATTCTTCGGGCGGCCGATTGGTACGTGATTGGTTCGATTCCTGACTTGCAGAGTGGTACGCGGTACACTACCCTACTACGACCACACACCGTTCTATTTCAGAGCTTCACTCTGTTCAATAACTGCTTGAATCAAGGACAATAAAGGACAAGGGGGGGGGGGGGGGCGTGTCTCTATTTTCCCTTCATAGGACTTTTCATTCAAAATTACAAGAACCGTAATATTTATCAATGGTACACTAATCAGCTTACAATTCGCAATTTCTGAGCTAAAACTTTAAAAAACAATTTTTAAAAAATCATTCAGCCGGTAGCTAATGGTCCGATCCAAATAAAAAAGGGAGGCAAGGCATTTTTCGGAGCGTTTCTCTATCATTGAGACAAAATTTGGCCTCAGATCCGATTTTCGTGATTAATAAAGTACATTAGGACAGAATCAATACACACCCACTTTCATATACAACTGAAGATCATCGATTTATCCACTAAACACCATCCGTCCACACTCCACAGTTTTATTTTAAAATCATCTGACGTACATCCTTTTCAAGGCAGATAAAGAATGATGGTCGCATCTTGTACCCTCTTGGCATCACACGGTATCGGGTATGTGGACCGGCCTCTGATCGCACGGCAAAACCCGAACCGTCCTCGTCACAAATATTCCAGATGGCAGCCAAAATCGAAATGCGACTACCGTTCTATATCCACTTAGCACCCTCTGGATCTTACTAGTAGACGCTGCAACGACCAGTAAGGAAGGGGTATATAGGGGAAGAGTACATATAAACCACTCAGAGAACCTTCTCTCCTAACCCCCAAGGGGGTTGCGATCATCGATGACGAAGCTAATCGTGCGGGATCAGCACCGTCTGCCTCACGCTCAGAAGAGAGGGTCAACCTCGTCATCGTGGGTTGGGACTCTCCAAAATTGGAAAGTAAGAAGAACTATGCTACTACAGAAATAATCCTGTAAAGTATAGTCTTAAGTTCTGATCGGGATACTTCGCGGTAGCCATCTAAAGCGGATCGTCAACTGCCCGGGCGAGCTTGACACTGTGACTCACCAGCGCTCTCTGGCGGATAAACCGGGCAAAACAATCTTCTCGCCCTCTCCGCACAATGGACCAGACATTAAAATTTACGGAACAATCCTTCAAACATTTAAAAATTGACGTTTTGGAGGTTGGTGGTTAGGGTGGGCTGATAAAAAATATTCTCGGGAATAGTTATAGCATAGTAGCATAGTAGCATAGCTAGTAATAGCATATTCATTTCATGCTCCATTCGGAGCATCAGAATATT